CTAGTGATGGTTTTCTGACACTCAAACAAATAAGGTAGACTTCTGCTTCTTGAAGTGAAAAGCTCTTGTTAAGAGAGAGAAGTCACAGAACAATATGGCTCTGTTTATGTAAATCCAGATGTGTGCTTTGAAACTATGTGCGTAAGAAATAATGTACCATATACATCAGAATACACCAAACTAACACTCTGTAGGGCAGTCAGTAGGATTGTGTGGGAGGTGAGGTAGGCTTCATTTGAACTACTTAAATTATTTACAGTGGGGATGTATACACGTACTACTTGAATAATAATAATAGTAATAACAATAACAATACTAACAATAATACATCTAAAATAACTAGAAAGACAATCTCAGTGCCCAGAGGTTGTTGCCCCCAGTTTTTAAACTCTACACTAGTGAGTACCCTAATCCTGTCATTCAGATTCCATGCTTTGGGCCCTCCCCGATGGCACAAGGGGATAAAGCTGAGCAATATGAGGCTATCTGCTGCCACTGCAGCACATGCCAGGCCAGGGAAGTGACCCACGTGGCACAGCAGACCTCTCTGACCAGCCCACTGCTCCCCTCAGCAGTGTGTTGCAGTAGATCTGTTCTGCTCCCCATTCTGTCTCTGATGAATCCTCTCACATCAGTTCTGTGTGCAGAAATAAATAAGTCTTAAAAAAATAGATTCCATGCCTGGTTTCTGATGGGACTTATCCCCCATGCTTTACCGCCTCCATTGCTCAGTCTGGATTCTTGACCTGTGCTCTTTGTCCTATCATAGGTCAAGAACAAAGGGGACTTGTTCATGACCCTAGTCCCAGAAGAGCACTTGGTCTGGTAAAATAAGAACTTCATCAGAGATATGCCTGGGAAAAGCATGGAAGGCCTCCTAGAGGAGGTGGCATTTGAGTTGAGATTTGAAAGCTGGATTATTTTTATCCTAACTCCCTCCCTCCGAAATTATCTTACAAACTGCATAGCATCATTACAGAAGTTTTGAATAACATCACCCTAAGCCAACTTTTGTGAATTCCCTTTCAAGTCTTTGTCCTCAAGGTACACACACATTTAAGTTATGAATTGAATTGTGTCCAACCAAAATTCAAATGTTGAGACCCTAACTCCCAATGTGACAGTGTTTGGAGATGGGCTTTGAAAGATAATTATGTTTAGATGAGGTCATGAGGGTGGGGCCCTCATGGTGGGATTAAGGCCTTTAAAAGAAGACAAGACATCAGATCTCTCTGTCATACACATTGATGAAATGCCACATGAGAACATAGTGAGGAGCTGGCCAACTCAGAGAGTGAGCTCTCATTAGATGCTGCTAGCACCTTGATCTTGGCCTTCTAGTTTCTAGAACTGAGAAAAGTAATTCAGTTAAGTCTGTAGTGTTTCATTGTGGCAGCCCCAGCAGACTAAGACAAGTATGCAATCCCAATGATATGTTTGATTATATGTTATTTTAAAATATAGTGTTGTATCATAGCCTTTCTTTGCATTACTAAGCAAAATGTATAATGATCACTTTTAATGGCTGTGCAATATGCCATCCAGTGAGTGGACTTAATTACCCATTTCTCTATTGTTGGAGTTTTAGGTTGTTTCTTATTTCCAAAGCTGCAATGAACATCCGTGAGCATGTAGGTTTTTTTTTTTTTCTTCCTTTTGGGTTATTTCCTTGTAACAAATAAATTCTCAGAAGTAGAAATACTGGGTCAAAATTTATGAACACTTTTATGGTCCTTGAAACATGTTGCCAAATTGCTTCTAAAAGTGCAGTTCCAGAATACACTGAAGCCATTGTTAGGCAAATATGAGAGGTATAGGAATGGGGCGGGGGTCCTGATTCCAGGAAACAGTCCGTCTAAGGGGGAATTGACCAGGACAGACTTCTCTGATTTATCCTCTGAATGCCACCAGATGGCCAACTGTAGAATTCTATGGCAGAGCCTGTTGGTTGTCATACTCAGTAGCCATGTTCAGTCGGCTTCTTCTATTTTATTATTCTCTCACCATAGAAGGTAAAATCCAGATAATCTGCTTCCCAGCTTCTTTTTCAGGTAAAAATGACCACGCGATGCTATCCTGTCCAAAAAGATGTAAAGGAGGGCTCTGAGAAGAATTACTTTTTCCTTCCCTCCCTCCACTCATCCCTCCTTTCTTCTCCCTTCCCTTCCATGTTTTGAATCAAGGCCAAGGCTCCGGGTGTCCTCCCTGTGGCAGCCATCCTTTGGCCACTCTTTGTGGGAGTCCCAGGAAGCTCCCCTCAAGTCTTCCAGCCTCCTGCCTCCCCACCCCACGTTCCTCCTAGCTCCCACATGTGCATGATCCCCTCCTCATCCCTCCTTGGCCTCCACACTCAGCCTTCCTGCTGGCTCTGCCCATCAGCCACCACAGCAACACTGTGTGTTTCCAAAGGGAAGACATTGAGCAAAGTCTTGCTTCCTGCTCACAGTCTGCCCTGTCTCCACACCTATTAAACCTTTCAGCTGGGAAGTTGAAGATTTTTGGTTTCCTGAATAGAGGGGAAATTGTCACTGGTACTATTCTCTCCCTTTTTCTTCCTGCCTTATGTAATGCCTGGAGCTATAGCAGCCACATCAAGAAAATAAGGTTGGACACACAAAAGAACAAATAGCCAACAGAGTGAGGGTGGCAGAAAGGCAAGACAGAAAGTGCCTGGCTCCTTAATGACACCATTTGAGTGGCTGATTCAATGCTTCCAACCACCTACCTTTAAATTCTTATTTTGTGGGAGAAACAAACTCTTATTGATTAGGCCATGGTTGGTCAGATTTTCTATTACTTGCAGTCAAATGCTTCCTAAGAGATACAAGACTCCATTGCTAGGCCCTGTCTTCTTCAGACAGCGTCTGGGAATCAGATTTTAGTCTTGTTATGCTAGAGTTTCTTTTTGTCTCTTGGAACTGGTATCTTGGATCTTTGTAGCTCAGAACATTTACTGCCTACACCTTCCTTGGTGATAGCCCCTTCCTAACTCTGGATGCTCTCAGCAGGCCTCAAAGCCTGAGGCTGCTCCTCAGCTCTGTTTGTTTTGTCAGGAGCAGCCACCAGCCAGAAATTGGTGTTCAGAGTACACTGATCACTGGCTCCCTTTGAGGTCTCAAAGGGAATCCTGAATTAAGAACCCTGGATTCATTTCTGGAACTTGCCTTGATTTATCAGTTGCATGGTCTTGGTCAAGATATTTAATATCTCTGGATAAAATTTCCTCATGTAAAATAGAGATGATTGGGGTGGCTAGCAAGATTTGGAATGACAACTCTAGTGACACAGTAGGTGTCCAAGACAGGTCTCCCTCCTGAAGACAACTGAAGCTCAGAGGTGTAGCAAGGAGTTCAATCAGGAATAGACTCGGAGTGCTGAGTCTCCATCAAGGGCATTCCAGTGGCCTCTTGGCCCCCTCTCTGGAGACCTGGGGCAGATAGGGATGTGAGCTCTTCCCTAGTCAGAATGGGAACCACAGCCAGGGTTGTCCCTAGGCAGCAATGGGGGCTCTGCAGCTTTGGGGCTTGTTTACCACTTTCCTCAGCAGACCCCCAAAGGAAAGAAGGTGCCTCTGCTTTTGACCACAGGGCCACAGGGCCTGCTGTGACATTGAGCAGGGGAGCTGGCAAGTTGTCCCTGGCCCCCAGGGTGGGGCCAGCACTCCCGGGCAAGTGACCAGACTCAGGCCAGCTTCCTCCCCTCACACTAAGTGCAAAAGCAGCCCCAGGTCTCTCCAGCACATTCCCAACTGACAACTTGAGAAGTGCATTCCCCAAGCCAAAATTAGGACGCGTGCTGTCACAAGATTCTTTCCATGGCTGGGTGTATTTATTTGAAAGTTCTTATCGAGGAATAAAAATGAACTCCATCAGAGGTTTGATGAATCACCTTAATTGGAAGCACCACAAATGTGTGCAAATAGGGCTGTCTTGGACAGACAAATGATGTCAGGAGAGGTTTGCTTCTCAAGAGCTGAGGCATTGAGGTCTTAGGCCCAAGCGCTGAGGTGGAAGGTGGAAGGGCCATGGCAGAAGCTACTTCTGAACTCATTGTCCCAAAATAGCAACTTTTCTACAGTTTTTAAAGCACTATAGGGACAGGATGACTATGAGACCAGAATGAAAAAATGTAAATGATGCAGCGTGAAAGCAGATCCATGGCTACAGAGAGGCCCAGATCAAAGGGTTGGCACTGTCATTTTATTCGCGACCTCTCCCCGCCCTCCCCACGCCACCCCTAACCCCAGTTTGCCAGCAGCGTAGGTTCTGTACCTAATCCCACCTCAGACTTTCTTGTGCAATTACACACCCCAGGCTGGCCTCAGCACTAGGGGGAGACCGGGTTCCCACCCTATACAGAATTTCCATATACTTTCAAAGTCAGCTATAGCCTAAGGGAGGGAGAGAAAATGAGGGAAGGGAGGGAGGGGTGTGAGGCCCAGGCTGAGAGCTGTTCTCACTGGAGTTCATTCTGACAGAGTTTCCACCATCCCAGAATAAAGCTGGAATCGCCTGTAAATCTGCTCATCATCATACCTGCCTTAGGGGACGTCCACCCAGTTCATTAGCCCCCCGCTCCCCCCAATATCCTCACTCAAATCTGAGGAAGCCATATGCTTGGACAGGAGCCCTGCATTATGGCATTATGGTTCTGACTGGGCCCCAGTGTCCCATGGGGAGGGGCCCATGGGGCGGCAGCTTGTTACCTGACACCAGGGGAATACATGGGATCCTGGTTGCTCTTATCTGACATGCGACCTTAGTCAAGGCACTTAATCTTACTGAGCATCAATTTCCTCATCTGTGGTGTGGACCTCATGACCTCTACCTTATAGGTCTGATCATATGGGCAGCTGTTTCATTGTCCTGCACATATTTTACAGTCCTGTCCATTGAAAAATCGTGACTATTAGTATATAAAAACCATTGACATGTAAATTACAAGGATTACCAACATTAATAATAATTATAGTAATTATCCCATTCTTCTTGTCCCCCCAGGTAGAGGGAAGCAAGGAAAGATGACTCTTCCAGCCCTTCCAGCCCTGATGGGGCGACTCACTTTGCTCTCAGACATGGAAGCTTTGGCTAATTTCCTTGGTGACAATCCTCTTACACAGTGCTGCTCAGATCCAGGGACTTGGACTGACCCTGTTCTCATATGTGGAGTGTGCTGCTCCCACCCACTACGTAACAATCAAGGCCAAGACCCTGGGTGTCCTCACTGTGGCAGCCATCCTTTGGCCACTCTTTGTGGGAGTCCCAGGAAGCTCCCCTCAAGTCTTCCAGCCTCCTGCCTCCCCACCCCACGTTCCTCCTAGCTCCCACATGTGCATGACCCCCTCCTCATCCCTCCTTGGCCTCCACACTCAGCCTTCCTGCTGGCTCTGCCCATCAGCCACCACAGCAACACTGTGTGTTTCCAAAGGGGAGACACTGAGCAAAGTCCTGCTTCCGGCTCGCAGCCTGCCCCGTCTCCCCATACTCCAGGCTGGGCAGGTTGGAATCCTGCTGATGTCCTTGGCCTGGCCTACCCTGGCAGTCAGATCTTCCTTTCCTCCCCAGCCTGTAGGGGTGGGAGGTGAGGGGGAGATCTTAATTTCTCCTCTTCTAATCAGCACAGCTGGGAGAACCAGCAGCCAAGGGCAGGAGGAGGTGAAAGGCCACAGGCCTAATCTGCCAGCCGCCCAGTCACCAGAGCACGGCTCCCCTCTAACAAGCCATGGAGCAAACAAATTATCTTTGTTGTTCCTGGGAAATCTGCAAGTACTTACCCGTGTAATTAGCATCTGTGCCTTGTGCCTGCAGTTCAGGTGAACAGGCCGCAGCTACTCCGTGCCAGGCGGCCTGTAATCAAAACCAAAGCGGCCGCCAGGGTGATGGCGGGTGAAGACGATGTCAAACTCAATTGGGCCCTCATTTGGGACAGTATCCCAGGAGCCGGGCACACTGGGACCTCTGTAGCTCGGAAATTCAAGAAAGGGGTGGGAGGCCACCGTCCTCCAGTGTGTCCCACAGACCCACCCTCGAACTCTGAAGCCAGGGCCAATGGAGGGCCTGGGCAAAGGTTCTGGGCCCAGGAATCTGCATTTTAAGCAGCTTCCCAGCTGATTGTTTGGTCTTCATGAGACATATTAAAAATATATATACAGGCCCTCCCTGGTGGCACAGCGGGTTAAAGCACTGCACTGAGAAGCTAAAGCCACTTCCGCATGAGTTCGATTCCCGCCTGCCCCGG